GAGTGTATTTTAGAATTATTAAACAGAATAGAAATTTTGCCCATTTTGATGAAGCATTCATACTTACCAGTAATTAGTAGTTAACATTTATTTACGAATGTACTATGCTAGATTATGTACTAAGGTGTTTTACATGTGTTAACTAATAATGCTTTTAAGATACTTTCGTGTTGGTTATTACCTTTTTTTTTTTTTTGTAAGTGAAAAAAAGCTTGACCGCAGTATGTGGCTACTAGGAATTGAGTCAAGATTCAAACCCTTGCATTGGGCTCCAGAGTCAGGATTCTGAAAGAATTGTACAGTTCATCCTTCAGTAATGAATTATAGTAACATTGGTTGTATTATTTTCTGAAATTCCCCATCTCAGAATGTGAGTTTATACAAAGGTGTGGTAATGTTTGCAATAATAGAAATACATGAAAAATACTAGTTTTAGAACCTGATTTCTACTGAAAGATGAATATGAAGAGTTGGAGGGAGTGGAAAAGTATTGAAGTATACAGGTTCTCAGTGTTAAGTTGATGTTATCTTCTGAGGAAGAAAAAATCTTTGGGAGATTCAGGATTAGAATTTTGAGAAGTAATAACCTATTGAAACTTGATCATTCCATGGAGGAGAGAGAAAGAATTCAGAAGGTCTTGGTTCTAGTATAGATGCCTTTGTTAACATATTTTTGGCTGTAAGCTAAATTCTAGTCTTTTATCACAATGCATTGTGTTGTTTCTGTGCCACTGTCTGGCTGTAACTTTAAAAACTAATGAAACTGAAACCTTGGATCTAAGAATATGAGGATTAAGAGTACATTTACAACAAAAATTACAGTTAACTGCCGGCATACCTCTGAACGACACAGCTTAATGTTTCGGCTGCTCTCTTACCAAGTTCCAGATGACTTTATATCTAAAAGTAATGACTCATTTAACTCTTAGCTAGCTTTACCACAGCTTGTTTTATTTCTGATCACTCTTAGACTGTTAGATACAGGCCGTGGTAATCATCTAATGTACATAAAGTGGAAAGGACTAGCTCTGTGGCCTTGGGCTAGTTAATTTCTCGGTGTCTCAGTTTATCTCTAAAATGTGACTTTAATAGTACTACGGGGTATTTGTGAGAATTAAATGAGTAAATATACTTCAAGTGCTCAGAACAATACCTTATCTCTTGTGAGCACTTATAGAAACGTTATTATAACTGTTACAATCACTGCCATTTTTAGAGCTTGCTTGCTAGACAGTAGGCCTAACACTTTTTACCTATCTTGTGTTTCCCTCAAGGAAATCTATCATTAATTAAAATGAGAAATCAATTTCTTCAGTGCCCAAAGTCACACAGTTTCTTTTGAGATTTAAGTTCATGCTGCTACTCCAAAACCTGATTGCTTCTTCCTACGCATTCATGGAGTACTGTATAAATAACCACAACCAACCAAAATTAAAACCACAAACACCAGAGTTGAATGAATTAATGCTGTAAGGGAGCAAGAAATCATATGATTGCATAAGCGTGACTTGGAGTGACTTTTAAAATAGCTCATTTTGGGTGTGGAATCACATTCTTTATGATGTATTTGAATTTATGCTTTAAATAGTTCCAAATTCTTTATGGAATCATGTATACCTCTAATTAGTACTGTTCCCATTTGTTTTGTAAAGATAGACTGTACAGTTGTTAAGTATTTTTTCTTACGCTCTGTTAGTCTTAAGTCATGTAGAAGGGTACTTAGTTTTAAATGAGTATGTACAAAGTCACATTCTATGTTTGAAGAAAGGTACTCATATTCTCAGAATACTTGAAAACAATTCAGTGGCTTTTAGATAGTTAATACCAGTACTCCATAGTTTTTTTTTTTTTTTAAATATATGATCAGTTATTTAATTAGGTTCTTGGCAAAAAATTTAGAACACCAATTTGTGAGGATAAACTCCTTTTGTAAGGGCAGACACAGATTGCAGGTAGCCCTGGAGCTGAGGAACAGTCGATTTTTGGTAAAATGTGTGAGTCCACAGCTTTCTGATCAATCTTGTGCTGCTCTGAAATCTCATGTTTCTCCTCCTCCATGTCAAAGATCTCACCTTCCCAGTGTCTGGGCTTCCGCAGTTTCTTTTTCTTGAAGTAAGCATCGTTAAGGTGCTTTGGGATTTTTACTTTGCTAATAATTTTCGTAGTGGTGGCAATGACAAATTTCTGGTGTGTTCTACGCAGTGGAACTCGATTGAGAACCAGTGGTCCAGTTACAAGTAGTAAGCTACTGCTCAGCTGCTTCAAGAAAACCACTCTCTTGCCTCTGTGGCATCCAGTGAGGATGATCAGAATGGTCCCGGGAGTGATGCTAGCTCGCAGCTTTCTCACATGCTGACTGAAGGCTTTTTGCCGTGGCTCAACAGGCACATCTTCAGTAGGATAATACCTAGGCATTTTGTGCAGTTTAACCACCTGGGTACCACCATTCTTGTCTCCACCAACTGGTTTTGTGACAGTCGCAAGAACCTTCTTTTTCTTTTCGATCCTGGATTTAGTGGCCGAGTATTTCCTCTTGTACATGGCCTTCCTGGAATACATGGCAGACTGGGAGTATCTGCCGATGCCCTGGACTAGGACCGGGTTTTGGCTGCAGTGGGGCTTCCCCTTCTTGGGCTTTTTAGCCTTGGCGGTCACTCTTTTTAACCTTGCCACTGACATCAGCCTTCTTGGCTTTAGGTTTCGTCCTTAGTATCCTGCTTTGCAGCTTTTTCACCTGCCATCTTGTATAGTGGGAAAGCAGTATTCCATAGATTTTACAGTGCTATTTGCATTATACCTATTTTCTTATAAAGGAGTATCATTTTGCTCTCTCATTTTGGGGGAACAGATTTTAAGGGGTTAATAAGTTTAGGTAGATAACAGGTAATTAAAATACACACTGGGAACCCTTTAGTTTGTATTTTGGAATGTAATATTCATGTCATCTATGAAGTCAAATACTTCTCAGTTTTGCACATTGTTTTGCTAAATACAATAATTTGTAGTTTGGGGAACATCTTTATTTGAATGCAGATGATTAGAAATTAAGATTGGAATTTGATAGCTCTAATACTTCTGGAGGTGCAAATTGAAGTATTACCCTAGGTACCATGCCATTATGATTTGTCATCAAAACTCACTAGTCCAGAACATTAATGTGTACTATACATTGATTTAGATTTAAATCTCAGCAGTACTTTGAAATCTGCTTTTACATACAAGGCACAGAATTTATGCCACCTGTTTTATTTAGTGAGTGTTATCTGTAACATTATATTGAAATTTTTACAACTTAGGGTCACATTTTTATGACAGATATTTTCATAGGTGTAAAAAATTGATTATTTTACTTCATTGTATATAGTGTAATAATTGGACTTAGGTTGAGATAATAGTGAAAAGCATAACGTTTAGAATTCTGAGTATCTGCGGTAATGTAGCATTTGACATTCTTTTTTTTTTAAAGAATTATTTATTAAATTTATTTATTGTTATTCAGTTTGAGAGAGACAGGGAGACAGAGACAAAGGGATAATGAGAAAGAAGTCGCCAGGTTTGGTACTCGAACCACAGTCGGCCACATGGGAGTGCAGTGCCCCAGCCACCATGGCAGCTGCCAGCCTTGCATTTGACATTATTAAAACAATTATTTCGGCAACCCTCAGTGCTTGGGTTACTAAATAGTAGTAAGATAAAATTCTTCTCTTTGACAGCCGTATTTATTTTTCTTGAAAAGTTCTGGTCAGTTTACTGATTTCATTTTATTGTGTCTTAGCATTAACCAGTCTCAAATACCTAGTCCTCAGAAGATTAACACTATGACTTTATGATTGAAGAAGTAATCATCATCTTTATATGAATGACATTTTATTAATAATTATTTTTAACTTTATTTTTTTAACTTTTCTGTAGCATGATGACAGAGATGATGGTGTGGATTATTGGGCCAAAAGAGGAAGAGGTCGAGGTACTTTTCAACGAGGCAGAGGGCGCTTTAACTTCAAAAAATCAGGTAGCAGTCCAAAGTGGACTCATGACAAATACCAAGGGGATGGGATTGTTGAAGATGAAGAGGAGACCATGGATAATAATGAAGAAAAGAAAGACAGACGCAAAGAAGAAAAGGTAGAAATGTTAACTTGTAATTTATTTTCTTGTATCGCTTTAGTGGGTAAATTATTTAATTTTAGGGACAGTGATTATTATGGTTAATTATCTACACCTTTGTTAATGTTTTCTTTTCTTTTGTAGGAATAGAAAATTTGAAGTAAGATTGAAAAAGAGAGCAGAACTTGGCACCCACCATTTTTTACCTGATTTTTTTTTGTTTGTTTTCAAATAAGAATGTAAGCATTTTACTTAAATTTTACTGTTTGCTAGTAGTCTAGAAATTTTGTTTTAAGTCTTCAAATATCTTGAAAAATAGTAGATTGTATGTTGAAAATTGTACTGAAATAAAAGTAGAGAATTGTTACGTATCATATTTGTAACTATCACTTTTAAAAAGAACTTTTACTGTTTTTGTTACATGCATTGTAATTTTGCTTTGTCTATAAGATATGGTCAAGTACAGCTCTGTGAAAGTTCTGATTCTCTTCCCTCCCTGTTTGTTAATGTTTTATTCTGAAGTAAACGTTAGCTCTACATACAAATCTACATACAAATACAAATTGTTTATAGATGCCACACTAATTATTTTAACTATACAGCTGATTAACATCCTCTTTATTTTGAACACACTACTTCATAGGGTGACTAATTTTTGAAGTATACCACAAAATTAACTTTGGTAAATTAGTTTAACACTTAAGGAAATGTTTAAAGAGGCAGAACAGCCAATGCTAAAAAATTCAAGTGATTACAAGATTGAAAAACTTGAAAAAATGTTATTTTTACTGAAGGTGAGCAGTGTCCTAAGAAAACTGTTTTAAGGAGTCTTTTCTATTTGGGTTCAAAATTCAGTGTTCTCTTTCTGTTCTTATTTGATAGTTTGAGTCATGGTCTAGATATCAGCTATTAGAGAAGTGAAACTGGTTTGTAATAAAATGCCAATGAAAACCCCATCCCCACTGAACATCTTAGTATTGAGAAAACAAAAGAACAAACTTGTGATCTGATGTGGGTATGGTGGAGGATTTTCCTGCAGGATAATTTGTATATTAATACCTGTTTTTATATCATATTTATTTAAGGCTTTTGACAGCTGAAATATTAGTTTGTAGTGTAACCATAAACAAAAAGACACAAACACAGCATATTGTAATTTACTTTTTAATGTCAACAATAAAAAGTTTTGGCAGGAACCTGGTTTGCAGCATTGCTCTAATTTGGTTTTTATATTTTCCCCTAGTAAAATTTTTTTCTTTTTCTTTCCAAGGGTTCTTTCTGTTCTTCAGATAGATGATCTCTCAAGTGTGAATTAACCTTTTATGTTTTTGATGATGGCTTTTATATTAATGAAAATCTGAAATAGAACATTTCAGAGATAAGTTTATGAGCTTGTATAGAACTAGCCACAATTCCTTTGTTAATTCAGCAACCAAATTACTACAGTTCTATATGTTTGCATTTAGAGGAGATACTACTTAATGTAATGTAAATCATTAAAGATCTTATGTGTTTGGCTCTTTCATCCTCACTTTTGATGATTGATAATGCAGCTAGCACCTTGATTACAGCCAGGATCGCCAGGATCATTTGCTAAGAACTATTGGAAACAAAACAAAAGTATATCTATACTCACTTTGTGATGCTTTGGCCCTAGGATATCCTTAGTATTGCGTGGTTTACCCTGTTACTTTTGTGTGTCTGAAATTGTCAGAGGAAGTACAAAGCCAGTATTCATTGCATTAATCAGGACATAATACTTATATTCTGAATAATACTTATTACATGTTAAAACAACATGAGTTATTTGATCTGTAACACATAATTTTATTATCATATTTTATACAAATACAGCTTTTATTTTAACAATTGTCATTTGTTTAAATACTAAATATCTGCTTGATTGTAAATGTGCAGTTTTATTTCTCAACTGAAGACAGTATGAATGGATTTGTTGAGAGATTAGTGAGGGAATAAAGCTACATAATTCCTACCAGGTTATATTTTCAGTGCAAATACATTACTTTAATCTGTAGTTACTTTTATTTTCTTAAAATTAAGGAAGGAGCATCATATGAGAATAGTAGGATGGGGTAATTGTGAAATCTCTATAGAAGAATGTCATTGTGGATGTTCTCTTTTTCAGAACAAGCGTGTAAAAAAGTACCCTATGTGTATTTTTTTAGACCACAATTTAATTCCATACTTTATGACATACTATAAAAAGCTGAATAATTCCTCTCAGTAAGGATATTTGTTTGTAAGTTCCAGGAAATAACTCTCTTGATACCTGCATTAGTAGATGTCCTTTGATTCAGAGAAGTGAAATAAAAATGAACCGAAGGATGTTTCCAGAAAGGATTAAGAATGCTGTTTAAAAAGGCCATGACTCAGCTCTTAGGTATTGTAGGTGTTGTGTATACCTTTCAATGTCCTAGGAATTTTAAAAGCAAGATATGTTTTTCTAATTGCAGTCTACTTTAATTATTATTGTTCTCTTTGTCACAGTTAAAATCAGTGGGAGTTATAATTTGAGAAAAAAATACTACCCAATAAGAATGAATGTAGATGGCTAAACGATTCTTACTCAGTGTGCTGTATAATGAAACAGGGACCTTGTAAATTGTCATATGCCAATAAAATGTCATAAGTGGTAATTACTGCTGTTTGTTTACCTGATTTTGAGACTTACTACATTTTTTACACAACTGAGTTCTGTGGCCTTTTTCTGGATATTTTAGAATACCAAGTCATCTGTTAGGAAATTACTGGCGTGTGCAGGTATGGTTTGATAAATGCTTTTAAAAATCACTTAAAACTTCTCTTTACTGTCTGTCTGTCTATCCTAGGAAAATGGGAGATTTTACAGTTGATAAGCCATAATAAAAATATACAAGAATTCCTAGCCAGCAGGTGGTGTGGAGTTCAACGTGGTGGATCCCACATGGACAACTGTGTTTTTCAAGTCCCTGACCTGGTGGCCTGAGAATGATGCCAGGTGCATGCATGCCCAAAATCCTGAGAGGAGAATGGTGGAGAAGGGATTATGAAGTGGCCATCTCCCTGGGCGGGTAAACTCACTCACTCTAATGAGTGCATGTGCCCTACAGCAAAAACTAAAACAGAACAAACAAAACTCGATAATTCCAGATTACTGGTTTAGTCTTACTTTTGTCATGTTAATATGGGAATTTAGCCATAATGTGGAGATTACTTCCTTTCTGAGAATTTAGTAGTTAGTAACTAAAAGAGTTACCTTTTTAAGTTTTCATTGACTTTGATATCTAATTCTTACTGAGCTCTCCTTTTAAATGATTTGACATACAAAATTTGCCTTTCTGTCAACTGTAAAAACAAAACATTTTCATAGAAATGTGTGTGCCAACAAATGATATATTTAGACTTGGAAATTACCAATTATCTCTTAAAAACTTCTTAGAGAGGTAACTGTATAAAAGGATGTGTAAGATTGTTGTTAACTATGTAGAATGGCTTTTTTCCCCCCCTCCCCACAGTGTGTGTGTACGTGCTCACCAGAAAGGGACAGAGAGAGAAATAGAGAAATCATCTCCTGGGGAAATGGCTTTTTTGCAGTCCTTTTTCCATTCTCCTCAGCATGCATGTACATGTTTCTTTCAGGTCACCAGGTCCAGGACTTTAAGCACTCAGCCAGCCATGTGGGGTCCAGCAGTGCCTTAACCACAGTGCCACTGACTGGCCCCAAGAGAAATGACACTAACAGTTTAATTTGAATTTGTACTTCAAATTGGAAAATGGGATATAAGAATCAGGAAAGTCTTGATTAATTTGGCATGAATAATTGGTTGCTTATTTAAAACAAAAAATGCGTTCTTATGAAAACTAAAACATAATCCTTAGAATACTTTGTAGTTTTGAGAGTATTATTTTCACTAATGATAAAAAATGTACCCACAGGCTAGTAGTGTACCCCAATGAATTCTCAAAACTGACTTGACGAGATTTCTTCTAGGCACGGCTCCACAGTGAGATGATTTTACTGAGTGTGAAATCAACGGAGCAGATTAGAGAAATAGATGGAGGAGACGGCCTAGATCAAACTGGTGGAAGGGAACAGCCAAGACAGTCTCAGAAGGCAAGCCATGATATCTCTGAATGCTACTCACAAAAGGTAGCTCAAGTAAAAAGGTTTCCCAGACCCCTCATTCTCAGAGTTCAGGAAAATTAACAGAAAATACTGTCGAGTCACCTAAAAGATTGTTAAAATCTAGTGTTTGAGTAATCAAAGTGGACTTTTTGTGTGTGTGTGGGGGGGGAGAGGTTTTTTTCTATAGTGTGTGCGCTCACTGGAAAGACAGAAATCACCCCCAGGGTGTGGAAATAGCCACACCACAACCTATTCTCCCGAGGGGATTTTGGGTATGCACCCTGAGTTGCCAGTTCACGACTTCTTAACAGCAGTCAGCTACGCCGGGAGTCCAGCGACGTAACAGTTACGCCATTTGCTGATCCCACAAAATGGAGGATCTTTTCAGTTTTTTCCTTGAATTTAGAAAAATGTTGGCGAAGTATTCACAGATGTGGCATTTGACTCTGGGCCACCTTGCTATTTATTTTAGTGAGTTGCTAATAACAAATTCTTCAATCTGGGTATTTATAAGAATAGAGAGAGTTACCTAGCTCATAGTTTTGGAGGTCATCCACAGTCAAAAGAGGTGCATCTGCTGAGGGTTTTTGATGGTAGACAACAGGAAGTATCACATGGCTAGACCAAGGGCGGGATATATTTCTGTGTTGATCTCAGTTTCCTGTATTTATGTGGGGACTTAATCCTAATTATCTTCCAAAGGCTCCAGCCCTTAAATTTTACTAAAGGGTGTGCTTGCCTGAGAGAAACAATGGAAAGTGAGAAAGCAACCAATTCTTCCCTCCCCCCTACACACATACCTAGAGAAGAATAGTCTCACCACAATCCCCTTCATTTCTTCATTTTGGGATTTGGTGCTCACAAGCACACAAGCCTGCTGTGCATCTCAAAGCCACTAGGGCCAGGACTCATGCCACCAGCCACTTGGGAACCTGCCACCTTTACCACCACATCAAGGGCAGGCCTGGCTATACTTAATCCTACAGATTGATTAACTTTTTTTTTTTTTTTAAGAATTATTTAATATAATTCCATTTGTTGTAATTTTTTAAATTTGACCAGCCGGAGACAGAACGGGAAAGTGAGAAAGCAAGCCACCAGATTCAAGACTGGAACTGCTGTTGGCCATGTGGGAATCCAGTGCCTTTATCCTCCATGTCACCTCCCAGCCCCAACTTTGCTCTAAATCTTCATAATACAACCTAATTCCAACACATGCTCTTTTGGGGATACATCCAAATCATAGCACTTACCCAAATCATAATGTTGACCTAATAACCTCCAAAGTAGTCCTATTCTCATGTTACTGAAGTATATTTGCATTCTGGCCCTATTATGTGTTGAGTTTGGTAAGACACGGAAAACGTTATAAAGTCATGATTTATTCATTTATAAGGGCAGAAGGGAAGGAACGTGACAAAATCTGTAATTTATTCATTCCTTGTAGGATTTTTCATCTTTTCACCTTTTTTATGTTGTCCATTACCCTTGTGCCTCTTTTCATTTTTAGCTCAAGACTACTGGGTGTATAACTGTAATCACTAGTTTTGCCAGTTGCAAAAATTTTTTAAGTTTAATTTTTATCCTTGTTGCTAATTTGACCATAGAAAGAGAAAGTAAAGCAAAAAAGCCACCAGATTCAGGACTTCAGCCATGTGAGAGTTCAGGGCTTTAATCACACCACCTGCAGTGCCCCAGGTTTTTCTTGATCATTTGTTTTTTTGTCATATTCCACAAACATATGCCAGGCACTCTTCTAAAACATGAGAGACAATAATGATCAAAACTCAAGTTTCTGTTTCCATGGCATTCACAGTTTCGTTTGGTGGTGGGGGTGGTGGTCTTACAAAGTGCTGTTAAAAAATAGGTTGAGTTGTGAGAGATTGGTGCCTGGGAAAGTCTGAGGTCCCAATGGTAGGTAGTAAACTCCAGGAGGGTAAGAAACGGCCCTTGTGCCTTACTACACTGGCAGACATCGAATGATGTTGAGCATGGAGAAATTTGAAACCTCCCATTTTTATTATGTAGGTCGGCAGCAAACAGTAATCATCTCAAATGGTCATGTTACTCCGGGCACCTGACACGACTGACTATCATCCTCTCTGCCAACTGGGTTTCCCGACCCCATACATAGCTTATATAATAAAGAGCATCTGAACCAACAGTGGGTTCTGATTACTATAAAATTCCAGAAAGAAACGCTTCGCTTTCATTTGTCCCTCAGACATTTTAATGCTCGCTGAAGGAATGAATGAAATAACCGAAAAGCACATTGCGACTCTGCCTCTGGCAGATCTGGGACAGTGGGTCTGCTTCAGGTCCTGGTGAAGGGAGTGACACACTCCCTAAGAAGTTTTGTGAGGCCCGGGGAACTCAGGATCGTGGCCCCAGCTCAAAGCCTATCATGGCTTGGGATGCCCAGTGGTGACACCACCCGCATTTGCGGGAACCCAGGAAACGTAAGGCTGTCCTGCGCAACCGTCCCGGTGCCTGCGCTGTCTGCCTCGCCCACCGGCTGCCTATTGGCTGCCCCATTGGAGACCCTCCCCCTTGACGAAGAGAAACTCGAAAGCCTTGAAAGCTTACGTCATTAAGCTGCCAATCAGAAGCAGGAACCTGCAGGCTTGTCCAATGAGATTGGGCATGGGGCACGGCCCGCGGAGTTTAATTTTCGACCTGGGTCGCGGAAGTAGCGGTCCTGTCCTAGGGTCTAGGGACAGGTTACCTGGGCCGGGGGGAGGCGACTTGGTCTCCCGCAGAGTTATCCTGGCTGAGCGGAGGACTGCAGGGCCGAGCCCAGGTCGGCCTCACAACCCCGGTGGGGTCATGGTTACCGCTCGCGGCCTGTAAACCGAGGTGCGCGGGCAGACGCCGGTTGAAGTGTGAGCTGCTAGGAGCAGTGCACCGCGGAATTCTCCGACTGAGCATCGAGACTCGCCTCCGTAGCGTTCTCCTCTAGACATCGTGGTGGTTGTCTGGAAGCTCGGCTTCGGAGGAAGGTGAGCAAGGCTACCTGCAGGGTTCGAGCCGTCCTGGAGGAGGGCTGTAGCCAAACCCATGGACTCAAGGGGCCTTTGGTCTTAGTTGGGTCAGTAAGTCGCCTTGCCTATCTGGGTTCCTGCTCCTATCTTTAGAGTGAGTGAGGAGGAATGGGTGGTACTCTGATCCGCTTGTGAGAAGAGCTGCTGTTCATTTTGTTAGAGCTGTAAGGGCTCCTGGCTGATTTAAAGGGTCGACTGAGCTCACCTGCGTCTCAGCACAACTCTTTCAGGAAAGAGGGAGCTTCGCTGTTGGAGCTAACGTGAGATTGACATCTATTGACTAGACACCTTCATAGGCTCAAACATCTAGTGAGATGTTTTAATGTAATTTAACTGAAAAATTGAAATTTCTTTAACTCCCTTTTTTCTATGTTACTTTTTACAAAATAAGGCTAGCTAGGAGAAATTAGCTATGGTGTAATGTGTAATGAAAGAACTCCTCCAAGTATTTAGTTCAATCTATGTGGCAAGGATTTCCAAGAATAATATATTTTAAAATGTTTTCTGCAGGTACCAAGAAACTGATGTTTCCTTGAATTTGCTTCTGTATTTGCTTCATCAATGTCTTTCATGTTGACTATCTTAAGAGAGATTCTGGAATATTTTGGTGTTCCCATAGACCAGGTAAATGTCTTCTAATGGATTTGAATGACTTGTTGCATTTGGTTTAAGCCTGAAAATATTAAGCATATTCAATTTTATCTACTTGTTGAATACATACTACATTTAAGACAATAGCCTTGGTTCTGCTGGTGATGCAGAGGAGCAATATGTAGTTCTTATGTTTTCTTTCTTTCTTTTTTTAAAAAAGAACTATTTTATTTAACTTTGATCAGAGAGAGAAAGAGAGAGAGAGAGAGAGAGAGAGAGAGAGAGAGAGAGAGAAAGTGAGAAAGCAAGCCAATAGATCTGGGACTTGAACCATGGTCAGTCATGTGGGAGTCCAGTATCTTTAACCACTTTGCCACCTGCCAGCCCCAGTTCTTGTGTTTTTGATACTTAAAATAAAACAAAAGGAATAAGACATAAAGGTAACTATAAAACAAGATTGACCATGAAAAAGACAATAGAATGGGAGTTTGTAAAAATGGATAAATCCTTTGTATGTGGTGGGGTGCATTAGAAGAGAGTAAGTAGTCATGGTAATTCATTCCCCCCCACCCCCCAGTTTTTGCTATAGGGTATGTGTACTTTCTGGAGAGACAGTAAGAGAAAAAGTGAGAAATCACCTTCTGGAGGAGGATGCCACAATCCCTTCTACTTTGTTGGGATTTTGGGCACGAACACTCATGCCCAGCATGATTTTCAAGCTTTTGGGTCCAGGACTTGAACTACATTTGGCCATGTGGGAGTCCAGTGCCTTAACCACCATGCCATTTGCTGGCCCCCATCTAAATTTCTAGTGTTAATAGATCTGAGACTTATATCCTCCAGACTGTGCTATCTAGCATGGAATCTACTGGCCTCAGCCTCATGTCATTTTTTTTTTTTTTAAAGAAAGAGGCAAGGAGGTGAAATAGGAGTAGAGGGTGAGAAGTATTTCTGAAAGTGTCTCCCTATTAGAGTCCTCTGCCTTAGCCTCTAGGAAGCTAGAGGTACAGGTGTACACCACCACACTTGGCCTATTCACACGGGTCCAGGATTTGAACCCCAGCACAAATGTACCCCAGCATTTTGCACCAGCACTTTTTTTTTTTAAGCAATTACTATTTTTTCTTTAACTTGATTTATTTACTTATTTTAATTTGTCCAGAGAGACAGAGTGAGAGAGAGAAAAAGAGAGGGAAAGTGAGAAAGCAAGCCATCAGGTCCTGGACTTGAACCATGATCAGCCATGTGGGAGTCCAGTGCCTTTAACCACCATGCCACTTGCCAGCCCCTCAGATCCATTTTTCTAACCCTAGTTTTTCCTCTGAGTTTCAGAGCTTTGTATTCATTTGCTTAGTGAATTAATCTGCTTATTAGATATCTTTGTGAGGATGCTAAGATACTATATATATTGTTCATAGTAAACTATGTATTGTTATAGGACCTTTTTTTTTTAAGAGAGAGATTTTTGCTATAGGCCACATGTGCTTGCCAGAGAGACAGTGAGAAATCACCCCCCTAGGTGGGATGGCCATGCTGCTATCCCTTTTCCTCCATTCTCCTCCTGGGGTCCTGGGCATGCACACACACACACGTGTCCTGTGCAAGTTTTAAGCCACTGAGGCTGGTACTCGAACCATGGTTGACTATGTAGGAGTTCAGCAACATAACCATTAGGCCATCTGCTGGTCTCTGTTATAGGATCTTATGAAAAGGGAAAAGTCCAATTTGTATTGTTTTTTAAAAGTGAGGAAACACTTTTTTGTGTATGATAAAATCTCTTCTAAAAGAATAAATATTTTGCCATATTTTGGGGAGGTTCCTGTGGCCATAGTTTACACCAGTATGAGAAGCCAGAGTCAAAAGACAAAATATTGACTTTATCGTGGCATATTTCACTTCTAATACCTTTTTTTTTTTAGAATTATTTTATTTAACTTTATTATTGATTTATTTTATTTTTATTTGTTGGAGGTGGGGTTAAATGAGAAAGCAAACTGCCAGGTCTGGGACTTGAAACCATGGTCAGCCATGTGGGAGTCCAGCGCCCCCAACCACCATGCCACCTGCTGGCCCCACTTCTAATACCTTTTCAAAGACTGACTTTCAACAGATATATTCCACTGTATGTAGGTAGATCTTTCAATTGTCTGGGACCCTTTTCATTTGTCCTTTAGCGGAAATTACATTGAAGTATAGCCTGTATTACTTACACTGCTACAGAAATTGCAACTATCAGTTTTTGATTGGGCCAAAACATGGAGTTTCTTTCTTTTGGTCTTACTGACTAGAGACAGTTTTACAGGCCTTGAAATCTCTATCCTCCTGGGATTACAGCAAGCACTACCATGCCTGGCAAAATATGGGATTTTCAGCTGGTAGAGAGGAAAAGAAACTTTTCTGAACAGAGTTCTATAAAGTATGTGGACATTACCAAAAAAAGAACAAGGCCCAGCTGCAGTGGCATGTGCTCCTAAAATGTGTTCTGCAGGAGCACATTGGAGGCTAGGGTTCATGTTGGTCCAACCTGAAGGCAAGCAGAGTAGTATGTACCTGTAATCCCAGCGACCCAGGAGGCTGAAACAGGAGGGTCATGAGCTCAAGGTGGGCCTGAGCAACATAGAAAAACCGCGTCTAAAAAGAACTAGATATAGTGGTATAGCCTGCAGTCCCATCATGGAGGCTGAAGCAGGGGTGTTCTGACTCGGGGATACCCTAGCTTAAAAAAAAAAGTCTTCCTGAAAGTATCTATATTTTTTTTCTCTCAATCTTCTTTTTTTATTTTTAAAGTTTGTTTATTTTTTTCCATTGTGGGGTGGAGATGTGGGGAGAAGACAGGCGCCCCAACAGGATTTTCATTATGCAATCTACCCCCAGCTAGCCTGAAGAATGGGCATGCATATGCATGTCTGGAGGACCCAGGACATGAACCTAGGACCAGTCTGTGTGTGTCCAGTTGCATTACCATTGTGCCATTATCTGGCTCCATCCTTATTTATTTATTTATTTATTTTATTTTTTGGAGACAAATGTTAATATAGGTTAATTCTTTGAAGAAGATACTTTAAGAGTATGCTATTCTGGGACCAGCCCTTAGCGTAATGGCTATGTCGCTGGACTCCCATGTAGTCGACTGCTGTTTGAGTCCCAGACCTGGTGACTTAAAACTCACGCTGGGCGTGTGTGCGTGTATGCCCAAGATCCCGAGAGAAGAATGGAGGAGAAGGGATTGCAGCGTAGCCAACCCCCTGGGAGGGTGACTTCTTGCTTTCTGTCTCTCTGTCTCTCTCTGTCTTTCTGGCGAGTGCACGTGCCCTATGGCAAAAACTTCTCAGAAAAACAAAACAAAACAAAACAAACCAACATGCTATTCTAAGCTTTTTCTTTAGAAATAAATGTTATTTTGTCTGTTACATCTTCTTTTTTTCATATATATCTAACATGTTAGTACATTTAAATAATGCTTTATGTTTAAATAGGTTTTGCTGATTTGGGAAAACAAATACTATGGATCAGCTCGGAGTCTTGTTCGTGTTATTGGAAAAATGCTTCCTTTAAAACCTTGTCAAAGACCTAATTTTGAGGTAAGTCAGTCAACAGGCATGGATTAAGTGCCGTGTGTGAAATAATCCTAGGTACTGCTAGGGCTTTGGGTAGAACAACAAAGGAAGAAATGCTTTGTGCAAGCCAGAGCATCCGTTTATCCCTGGAAACAAGTCATTTCATCTATTTTTATGGTTTTTGTGTCTTTAAGTAATGACATTCAAAGATGGACAGGAATGAGCAATACCTGGGGAGTTTATTAACTTTATATTTTATGAAGGATAAGATTAAACAGGGGATCAAATATTCTGCTATGTGCTTGGGCTATAGAATAACATTTTCTCCAGTAGTTTGTCTTGCAGACAGGTGCATGGTTTTTTCTTGACTGTCCTTTTTCCTTTTTTTGCTTTTGGATTTAACTTACCTAATGCCATGGGTTATGTGTCTTTTCCCAACCACCTGCTTTTTATTCTCAAACAATCTCACTTTGTTTTGCTTTGTTTTGTTTTGTTTTAGTTGATCCCGCTCTTGAACTCTGTAGACTCTGATAACCATGGATCTATGGTTCCATCTTTTGCGGATATTTTGTGTGTAGTGAACGATGAAGAAGCAAGTTGTCTCAGATTTCGGTAATTTTGTATGCTTATCTTGGGAAGTGGGATATAAGCTATAACTTGAATTCTTGCATGCACTGAAGATTTTTCATATTGATTGAACTTTTTTGTTTTGTCTATTTCTTTGGTGTGCTGTGTCCTACTAACGTCTTCCTTTCAAGGGTGACTAGCTGTTTCTCTTGTTTTCAGTTGGGTTTCTTTTTCTTTTCTTTCTCTGTCTCTCTCCAACAAGGAGGAGGGGAGTGAGAAAGCACTCCCCAAGGAGGATGGTCATGCTGAGATATTTTCTCCTCCATTTTTCCCTTTGGGATTTTGGACACACTGTGTTTTTCCAGCTACTGGCTGAGGACTTGAACCATTCATTCAGTCAGCTCTGTGGGATCCAGCCTTCTTAATCACCACACCAATGGCTGCCCTAGATTTGTTTATTTGTTTATTTGTTTGTTTGTTTATTTGGATTTGTCTTTTTTCCCCCTAGTTTGTTTGTTTAGTTGTTTATTTATTTAGAGAGAGACAGGGACCTTTGACAGAGTCTTGCCATGCCACAGTCTCTCTAACACCCTTCTCACCAGCCAAGATCCAAGATGCATCTGGCATGGTTGTCCCAGGAAACAAACCCAGGGCCTTCCCATAGGGCTCCAGTATTGCGCAGTGGTGTCCTACCACCTGTGCCGTCATGGCTGGGCCACCAGTTTTTCTTAATGCACATTTAAACCTAACACTAGGGCTTGGAGGGAATGATCACTAAAAGGATGTCAGAATTGTTATATTCTTTCTGTTTTATATACTAGATACTAGATGTATATTATTTTATATATTTAGCCAAACTTACATAGTGCTTACTGTGTACCAGGGAACGATGTTAAATGTATTTCAAAATTTGGATGCAAAAATTACTCCTAGGGAGTTCTAACTTATGTATTATTAGTATTTTTAGGTACAGACTAGAAGCACAATAAGTAAATGTCAGTCATTCAAGTATTCTGGTTAAATTTATTATGTATCAAACCAGTATTAATTTTTAAAAAGTGTGAAGACTATAAACTTACTCCTAACATAATTTTTTTTTTTTTTGGAGAGGTTTTTTTGCTATAGGGCGCGTGCGCTCGCCAGACAGACAGAGAGAGACATAGAGACAGAAAGCGAGAAATCACCCCCCAGGGGGGATGACCATGCCGCAATCCCTTCTCCTCCATTCTCCTCTCAGGATCTTGGGCACGCACGCACATGCGCCCAGTGTGAGTTCTAAGCCACCGGGTCCGGGACGCCAACCGCGGTCGACCACGTGAGAGTCCAGCGACATAGCCATTACGCTAACTGCTGGTTCTCCCCTAACATAATTTTGAATAGAAAGCCTTTTACTATCTTATGCTGACTTTCTAAATAAATAAATGTATACTGTGTTTGAAGTGAACAGGGTAATTTTTTTGTTTGTTCATAATTTTTTTTTAAGAAGTTTTGGCCATAGATTGCGTATGTTCACCAGAAAGAGAGGGAGACAGAGACAGTGACAATGAGAGGGAAACTGAGAAGTCACCCATCTGGGGGGAATGGCCATGCCACAAGCCCTCCTCCTCCATCCTCCTCCTGGGATCTTGGACACATATGCACACGCCCAGCATGAGTTTATTTATTTATTTATTTATTTTCAGAGACGTTTTTGCTATAGGGCATGTGTGCTCTCCAGAAAGAAAGACAGAGACAGAGAGACAGAAAGCAAGAAATCACACCCCAGGGGGTATGGCCACACTGCAATCCCTTCTCCTCCATTCTCTTCTCAGGATCTTGGGCACACACGCACACTAGCGTGAGTTTAAGCCACTGGGTCCAGACTCGAACCGTGGTTGACTACTTGGGGGTCCAGTGACATAGCCATTACGCTAACTGCTGGTCCCACCCCAGCATGAGTTTTAAGCCACCTGGTCTGGGACCTGAACTGCAGTCTAGCGACATAACCACTATGTCACCTGCTGTCCCCTTTCTTACAATCTAATAGCAAGGTTTGTTCCTTTTGTTCATTGGTTAGTTATGGGCCAGCAGTTTAGGGGCTGCTAGGGTCTACATTCTGTTTTGAATATGGGAAAGAGAAAGCTGAACAAGATGTCGTGCTTGTCCTCAATAAGTCTGGAGACAATCACAGAGAAAAGAGAGTTGCTCTGATTTTATTTTGTTGTCTTTCCCCATCCATGAAAGAGTTTATTTCTTTTTTTGATTGAAAATTTCTTTCCCTTCTTCTCTCTCTGTCCTCCTTCCATACACAGAAATAGCATAAAGCAAAATGAAAAAGAGGAGAAAATGGAATTTTTCCATCCTTTGCAACTAGTTCGGAATCCACTGTCACCTGCTGTAGGGCGAAACAAGCCAATGAAAACTGAGCTGCCTGTGACTGAAGCAGCCGTTAAAAAAATAGCTGCCCTTGAAGATGAGCTAGCTTTTCTTCGCTCACAGATTGCTGCAATTGTGGAAATGCAAGAACGGAAAAATGGTGCAAATTCTGGTGAGTAACATACTGAATTTTCCTTTCAGTTAAATGATACTTATCTAATATTTATGTCAGTGCAATTCTGAATAAGAACTGTGAACAATAGTAACACATCATTAAAAAGATGTTGGGTATATAAAATATTTTATTCAGAATAAATCAGGGCACATTTGTAGTGAGGGAGATGGTTTGGGTTTAAAGAAAAGTTTGCTAAACTTTTGAAGATTATATTTTTGTAGTAAAATCTCTTCCTTCCCCTCCCCACTTCCCGAATGTTAGAGTGCACATGTGCATGCATGAGAGAGGAAACACCCTCACCCCAGTGGGGCCTAGTCATGCTGCAATCCTTTTCCCTCTAGTTCTCCATCACATCAGAATCTTGGGCATGCACACGTGTGTCTGGCATATTTTCAAGCCACCCCCAACAGGGTCTTCATGCCACAACCTACCTGAGCTGGCCTGTATTGCAGGCATGTGTATACACACATGAAGTAAACCAAAGGCCTAGGACGTGAACTGGGAATTTTCCTATGTGGGCTCTGCTTTTTATTTTAATGTGGTGGCAGAGCCAGGCATTTTTATAGGATCTTGGTACATCATAATCCTTTCTGCCTTAGATTCCCAACTAACTAGGACCACGGGAGACACCACAGTGCCCTGTCAGCACTGGTTGTGCTGGGAATTGAACCTGGGACTCTCATATGGCCGCAGCCAAAACACAGTGGTGTTCTTTTGCTTTGACAACCATGGATGGGCCATGTTTTGGCTTTTTAAAAGTAGAATAAGTGAAGTTCAGATTGTATGTGGATACTGAAAAAATATTTTTTATTTTCTTGTTAAAATATATTAAGGGGGCCAGCAGGTGGCATCGTGGCTAAGGTGCCTGGACTCCTACACATCCAACAACGATTCGAATCCTGGACCCAGTAGCTTGAAAATCATACTGGGTGCATGTGCATACGTGTCCAAAATCCCAAGAGAAGAATGTAGAAAGGATTGCAGCATTGCTCTCTCTCCTGGGGAGATGATTTCTCACTTTCCCTCTCTGTCTTTCTCTGGTGAGTGAGTGTATATGCCCTAGAGCAAAAACCTAAAAAAAAGAAAAATTATGCTCCTATCTTCCCCTTTAAGACTTGCACTAGGAATTTCTCATTGGATTAAAAACGAATTTATAATTTGACTTGATTATTACAGAAACGACTAAGTAGATAGTAATTGTAGTAAAGTTGATTCACCTTTTTTGCTACCATATCACTTTTTAGTAGCATTATAGGTATTGTTCCTGTTTTGTTTCTATAATTCTATATATTATGTTAGAGAAGATTTTGCATGTTTTGTCAACAAACTACTTTGCTTTTAGGCTCTTTCGATTTGAATGATGGGCCCCGTGTTTCTGGACAAAAGCCTTCATCAGAGGCTGCTCAGCGAGGAGTGGAGCCAGACCAGTTTCCGGGTCCAGTGATTTCTTCACCTCCTCCACCACCACCGCTTCCTTCTCAGTTTTCTTCTCTCCAGTCTCCACATTTTCTAGCCACACAAGAGGGATCAAATAATATTTGTGACTCAGATAATCCAGCAATTGAAATAGAGAAACAGCACCCAGGTGCTAGCAAGACTATGTATAGGCGTCACCCAAAAAGCCAGAGAAGTAAAGGTCTTCCAAACATGTTGGATGTTCTGAAGGATATGAACAATGTCAAGCTTCGTGCTGTTGAAAGGTATGCTGTTGTAACTCAAGAAATGAACAGAACTTTTAGCAGACTTTTTTTTTTTTAATTACAATATTGGGGTCAGTGGGTGCCATAGTGGTTAAGGCACTGGACTCCCATGTGGCCGACTATAATTCCAGTCCCAGACCCAGTGGTTTGAAACTCAAGCCAGGGGCATGTGTGTGTATGCCTAAAATCATGAGAGGAACATGGAGGAGAAGGGATTGTGGTGTGGCCATCCTCTCTGGGGTGATTTCTTGCTTTCTGTCTCTTTGTCTCTCTCACAAGAGCATGTGCCCTATAGCAAAAACAAAAAAACTCTTAAAAATGACCATATTTATGAAAGTTAACATATGTAAGTCTACTCTCTTACTCGTCTTTTTCTTCCCCTTTCTTTTTTTGGAGAGGTTTTTTTTTTTTTTTGCTATAGGGGGCATGCACTTGCCAGAAAGACAGAGAGAGACAGAGAGACAGAAAGTGAGAAATCACCCCCCCGGGGGGATGACCACACTGCAATCCCTTCTCTTCCATTCTCCTCTCGGGATCTTGGGTACGCATGCACACGCGCCAGGTGTGAGTTTAAGCCACTGGGTCCGGGACTCGAACTGTGGGCGACTACATGGGAGTCCAGTGACGTAGCCATTATGCTAACTGCTGGTCCCTCTCTTACTCATCTTTACTCCTCCCAGAGATAATCACTATCAGTTCTTTTTGACTGTGTCTTCTAGTTTCTTATCTCCATATGTTTCTGACACATACTTCTTTTTTTTTTTTTTTTTTAAGTTCATTTCTAACCAAACAGCAAGAATCAGAGTAAGGTACCCTTGACAGGTCTTCACGCTGTGATCCATTCCCAGCCCCACTGGCCAGAATCACAGGCACGGGGTGTACCCCACAAGTACAGGGAGACCCCAGGAGGTGAATCTGGGACTTGGCCACATGGCCTCAGCATAGCGGGCATTGCGCTGTGTTACTGCTGTGCCCATTATTCCTTTTTTTTTTTTTTTTTTTTTGAGAGATTTTCACTGTAGGGCGCGTGCGCTCGCCAGACAGACAGAGAGAGACATAGAGACAGAAAGCGAGAAATCACCCCCCAGGGGGGATGGTCACGCCGCAATCCCTTCTCCTCCATTCTCCTCTCGGGATCTTGGGCACGCACGCACACGCGTCCGGCATGAGTTTAAGCCACCGGGTCCGGGACACGAACCGCGGTCGACTACGTGGGAGTCCAGCGACATAGCCATTACGCTAACTGCTGGTTCCCTGTGCCCATTATTTCTTGATATTGAAATTATATGGACTTGGGACCAGCAGTTAGCGTAACGGCTATGTTGCTGGACTCCCATGTAGTCGATTGCGGTTCGTGTCCCGGACCCGGTGGCTTAAACTCATGCCGGACGCGTGTGCGTGCGTGCCCAAGATCCTGAGAGGAGAATGGAGGAGAAGGGATTGTGGCGTGGCCATCCCCCCTGGGGAGTGATTTCTTGCTTTCTATCTCTCTGTCTCTCTCTGTCTGTCTGGCGAGCGCACGTGCCCTATAGCAAAAACCTCTCAAAAAAAAAAAGAAAAAAAATTTATATGGACTTGCTATTGCAGAAGATGGAGAAAATATTCTCTTACATATTTTACCCAATACATACATCATCTTCCTTATCTAATTAAATTATAATCTTTGGTTCGTTCAGTTTTCAGAATTCCCATCCTTACTACAGCAGTGAACCTTCACAGATAAGCATTTTCACATACCTCAATTACATTTTGATTGTTCAATAATCCTTTTTTAATCAGAGTTAATTATTGCCTCTCTTAGTTTCACTTTTTTTTTTCTTTTTGGTGGTTATAAAAGAGTGAGATCTTTTCTTCACAGAATTTTAAGTGCACAGTATAATATTATTAATTGCAAGCCCGATGCTGTACAGCAGATCTCTAGAATTTTTCCATCTTGCGTGACTGAAACATTATTCTCATTGAATAGTAACTCCCACTTCCTTCTTTGCCCCGGCCCTAGCAGCCGCTGTTCTTTCGACTTCTGAGTTTGATTACTGTAGAACCTCATGTAAGTGGAACTGTGCCGTACTTGTCATTTTGTGATGGGTGTATTTAATGTAGCTGATGTCCTCAATGTTCATTCCTGTTGTTACATAAGAAAATTCTGTTCTTTTTGTAAAGGTAAATAATATTTCACTGTATACACGTACCACATTTTTTTTTTTTTTTGATGGCCAGAGGGTACATGCACTTGCCAGAGAGAGAGAGAGAAAGATAAGAGGAAGAGGAAGAACCGTCCCCACCACCATGGAGCATGGTCATGCTGTAATTTCTTCTCCATTTCTTCATCCTGCAGGGATTTAGGGCAGACACGCGTATGTACCTGGTGTGTTTTCTATACCACTGGGGCTGGGATTCGAACTGCTGTTGGTCATGTAGGATTCGGCTCCCCTAACCACAAGGCCACATGGCCAGCCCTCCCTGGTGATTCTTGGCTACACATTCATATTTAAAAGTGAGGCAAGGACAAACTGATTGCACGTTCTTTCTGTGAGAAGGCTTGTCAACTAGTAGGCTTCATAATTCAGTGATTAGGCAGAGGATGTGACCATTCTGTAGGCCAGACTCCATATGTCTTTTCTTTAGGGATTAGATAATTTTTCTAGAAAGTTCTTTAAGCTCCTTCTTGGTTAGGAAGAATGGAAATTACACAGTGTGCAAGCCAGATAGTTCGGAAGTTTACATCTCTATTTTTAGAAAGGCAGCAAACCCTGCCTCTCAAACCCCTCTCCACTTTCATCTGCTTTCCAGCTTCTGTCATTTGGCTGTAGTTCTTATCTACTGGCTCTTTTTCTTATCTCTGTCCTTGTGGATATATGTCTTTTCTTTCTTTTTTTTTCTTTTCTGTTGAGAGAGAGAGAGAGGGAGGAAGATAGCTATTCTTTTTAAATTGCCAGAGGCCACACAATACTTGCACACTTGCCTGAGAGACAAAGAGAAAGCTCCCCCCAATGGGGCACAATCCCTTTACCTCATTTCTCTGATCTGTGAGGATTGGAGGTAGCACACATGTGAACTCAGCATTTCTCAAGCTGCTGAGGCTTAAGAACCATGTGGGATCCAGCTTTTCTCTTCTTCTCATTTTTTTTAAAGAATTATTTTATTTAACTTTATTTATTTATTTAAATTTGGCCAGAAAGGGAAGAAGAGTGGGAGAGAGAGAGGGAAAGTGACAAAGCAAGCCGCCAGGTCCAGGACTTGAACCATGATTGGCCATGTGGGAGTCCAGCGCTCTTAACCACCATCCCACTTGCCAGCCCCAGGATCCAGCTTTTCTATGCATAGTCCTTATCCACTGCACTGTGGGATTAGCCCTTCCTCTTTCTTTTTTTTCCTCTTTAGTTTTTGTTATAGTGTGTGTGCGCTCACCAGAGAAAGACAAGAGGGAACATGAGAAATCAGCCCCAGGGGGAATGGCCATGCCATATTACCTTCTCTTCCAGTCTTCTTGGGATTTTGGTCACACATGCGGTATGATTTTCAAGCTGCTGGGTCCAGGACTTAAACTACTGAGCCAGCCAGTGTGGGATCCAGCGCCTTAACCATCACACCACCTTCTGGTCCTGTTCTTTTTTTAAATGTTATTTTAGCAGGATTTTACAAAAGATCTGATTGGAAATCCTTCAGTGAGGTTTTTGGTGAGAAAACAAATGTATTTTCTATAGAAGTTGTTAAGACTGGTAAGTCACTTTGGTATTAACACATCTGTGAGCTTGATCTTTATGTGAGACAGCTCGCAGAGGAAAATCTCATGGTGTGTGTTTGCTTCTTACTACATCTCTACTGGTATCACTGGGGCCAAGTGTGGGCCCAATGGTGACTCTGAATGTTACCATCACTGGAAAACAACTAAAAGGCCAGCAACTCTACCTCCCAACTCCCTAATCTTTCTGTAGCTCCTTCTACAACTAACCCTGTTTTTGTAACTGAGAAATCAGATGAGACCTCCCATGTCTTTACTCCTACAAATTCACACCACCCATGTTCTCTACCTTCCATCTTGTGAGCATGAACGGGAAGTGTTCATGCTCACAAAAGGCCTTGCCCTTAGTCACGGTTTCCCTTCTCTCAAGGATTCACTTAAAGTAATCTCTTACATCGTCTGCATCGTTGAATCTTCTTTTATTCCTCTTACCCCTGAGCATTTTCCACCTTCAGAGCATGTATATCCTCAACTAGTGCTGTTTACTGCCCTTTCTGAGATAAATTCTAGAAGTCATCTAGTTGGTTTCCATTTGTCACTGACTTCTATACACCATAATGCACTGTCTCCATCGTTCTATTGAGGACAGCGCCTACACGCGGCAGTCTCCAAAGGTAAATTTTCATTGCTCATCTTTCTTGGTCTCTTGGCAGCGTTTAATAAAGTTCCTGGTTCCTTCCTCTGAGTACTTTCTTCAACTGGTTTCTGGGAAAGCATACTCTTTTTTTGTTTTTGGAGAGGTTTTTGCTATAGGGTGCGTGCGCTCTCCAGAGAGGCAGAAAGCAAGAAATCACCCCCCAGGGGGGATGGTCACGCCGCAATCCCTTCTCCATTCTCCTCTCGGGGTCTTGGGCAGGCACGCACACGTGCTCGGTGTGAGTTTAAGCCACCAGGTCCGGGACTCGAACTGCGTTTGACTACATGGGAGTACAGCGACATAGCCATTACGCTAACTGCTGGTCCCTGGGAAAGCATACTCTTGAGTTTCCTTTTCCTCGGCTCCGATTGCTTTGCTACTGCCTCTTTCTGGGCCTGGCTTCTAAATGTTGCTTCTCTGAGCCTTGTATGCAGGCTCAGACCTCAGCCTGGTGTCTTCTCCATCCACATGGTTTCCTTTGGTGAGCTCATGTAGTCCCATGACTTTAATTACTAGTTATATGCTTATGACATTTGGTTGTTTTTATATTTTAAATTAATTTATTTTTTGCCCTGGCCTTGCCTCTGAGCCTGAAGTGCGTATCTCCAAATGCCTACGTGGCATCTTTATTTCCCTGTCTCACAGGTGTCTCAAGTTTCACGTGTCCAAAACAACTCTCCCTTCCTTCCTGTTACCCTCCTCCACCTTAACAACCTGGGCTTTTCCTAGTCTTTTGCATCTCAGTAAATGGCAACACTGTCACCTGGCTGCTTAGTCCAAATGTCTCGGAATCATCTGTGTTTGTGCTTCTTTCTGTTCCACATCCTCTCTGGGCACACATAGCTCCAGTCTCCACTGCCATTGCCTAGGCTAAGCTACGATCTTAACTAGTGTAGGCTTTTCCAGTAGCTTCCTAACTGATCTCTCTGTTTTCATTCTTGCCTCTTTATTCATTCTCTATTGGGACAACCATGACCCTTTAAAAAGTGAAGTCAGATCATCTCATTCCCTGTTTAAAATGTCTATGATTGGGGCTGGCAGGTGGTGTGGTAGTTAAGGGCTCTGGACTCCCACGTGGCCTACCATAGTTCAAGTCCCAGACCTGGTGTCTTTATCACTTTCTCTCTCTCTGTCCCTCTCTGGTCAAATTTAAATAAATAAATAAATAAAATTATTAAAAACAAAACCAAACAAACACACATTCGTGATTTTCTGTCCTGCTTAGAATAAAATCCAGAATCCTTCCTGTGCCTGTCTGTCCCCCCAGGACTCAGCTCTTGCTTCTCCCTCTGGCCTCATCTACTTCCCTTGGGACTCACTGTATCCCAGCTCTGCTTGGTTTTCCTTTTCTTTGTCTCGTATGTGCCAAGCTCCTTCCTGATGCATACACTAAAAGCTCTCATCGCTTCCTTAAAGAGGGTGTCCCCTCCTCAAAGAGGCTTTGCCTAATCCTATCTCATCCGGAATACTTCCATCCATAGCCACTGTCACATTTCCCCATTTCATCAGTTTGTCGGAAAAGTCATGATGCATTTTTGCATAGAAAAACATAGAAAAAAAGTCATGACTTTTCCGACAACCTAATATTTTGTGCATAGCACTTGGTCACCATTCACAACAATCTTGCTTACTTATGTGTTGGGGATCTTTTGTCACCAGAGTGAGTGGAGGGCACTGCTATGCCCCAGAGCATAAGTGGAGCCTGCATAATAGACGTTCAGTGAAGACCAAATGAATGAACAGTTAGCCTAATGGTCTTCTTTTCATGAACTCTAGTCCTTCTAAAAGTTCTTAAATATTTCTTCAAATTTTTCTAGCCACTGGAAAATTAAAAATAAACATCTTTTGCATGTGATATTTGAGACATCTCCGGTCATGGCCAGATTAAGGTAGAACCCAAACCTGCATCCTGCTTTCCCTGTGTTCTGATTCTCAGTGCATCATGCCCTCCAGATTCCTTATTCCATGGCAAAAGTCTCTTGAAGACTAATTAGATTGTATAGTGTTATGCTAGTATTCCTGCCGTGTTTGTCAACAAGGAGCTCATATCACATCAGATTTTTAATGTATTTAATTTTTTGTTTTTTAAAAAATAGGTCACCTGGTGGTAGACCCATTCACAAGAGAAAAAGACAAAATTCACATTGGGATCCAGTGTCTTTAATATCCCATGCACTTAAACAGAAGTTTGCATTTCAAGAAGATGATTCCTTTGAGAAAGAGAACAGGTCTTGGGAGCCTTCTCCATTTTCTAGTCCAGAAACTTCAAAGGTAAGCTATAATAATGTAAAGGTAGTTTTTCATTTTTTCTGAATTGTACCATTCAAGTATAGCTTTATATTCATGTTGTCTTGAAATAATTTTGTAGAATGGGCTATACTGTTCTTTGTCGATATTGTAATGTGTCAGTCATTTTTGTTAATTACACATGCTCATTTTAATTCTTAGCCTACAGTGAGGTCTTTTGAAATGAAGTAGTTGATTTGAAAAATACTCATGCATAGGTTTCTAATGGTTCATCCCAGACAGGTGCTTCTTTGATGCTGGGATCTGCAGGTGAATTTGGAGCCTGAAATGTTAAGAGGACCAGGGAAGAGTGTTGCAGTGTATTCAGCCACAGCAGACTGCATGCTATCACTCCAGTATTTTCCTCAGTCAGATATAAAGACTTTGGATTATTTAGTTGAATAGAATGTTAACTGCTTTTAAAAAACCAGATGAGGAGCCAGCAGGTGATGTAGTGGTTATAGTGCTAGACTCCCATGTGGCCAATCGTGGTTTGAACTCCAGACCCAGAGTCTTGAAACTCATGCTAGGTGTGTGTGCATGCATGCTTAAAATCTCGAGAGAATGGAGAAGGGATTGCAGTGTGGTCATCTCCCCTGCCTTGAGGGGTGATTTCTCACTTTCTGTCTCTCTGGTGAGCACACATGCCCTACAGCAAAAATCTCTTAAAACAAAAACAAATGAGATTATAGTTTTCTGTAATGACAAAAATTACTGGAGGATAAAAGGACATACACTATTTTTATTATTTTTTAAAGTTTTTGCTGAAGGGTACATGTGCTTGCCAAAGAGATGTAAAGAGAAGGAAAGTGAAAAATCACCCCCCAGGTGGTATGGCTATGCCATAATTCATTCTCCTCCAGTCTCCTCTTGGGATTTTGGGCACATGCTTACACGTGGGTGCCCTTAGTGATTTTCAAGCTGCCAGTTCTGGAACTTGAACCACTCAGCTGGCTCTGTGGGATCTAGTGTTGTAATCTTCATGCCACCTGCTGGCCCAGGACACACACTATTTTAAGCACTGATTCTTAAGATTGCCCCTTACTCAAAGTTTCTTTTCCTAAATTTAGAAAGAATTCTAGTTTGAGGCATGCTTTTCGAATCTCATCATAATACGCCTTAGTAAGAGTGTGGAAGAGGGGCTGTATCTGAAGTCTGGTAGAAGCACTGTGGAGTGACAGACAGCAGGGGAAGAAACTGGAAACTAAAATACACAAGGTCCCCCAAAGAGCTTGCCAGGCAGAGGAGCAGTCATTCTACTCACATCCCCACGTGTGAATTCTCTGAGGTTGCTGGTGTGTGTGTGTCCTAGATCTGATATTTAGACGTTGACTCAGAAAATAAACCTCTTTCATTGGGGCATTGCAAAAGTATGACTCATTTTTGCACAGAAAAACAAAAATATGTCATGATTTTTCCATAGAAAAATATATATTTAGGCAGGCAAAGAAGTATGTAATTTAGAATAATTATCATAAAACATACAAAAGTATCTGAAATAAGTGTTTAATTTGAACGTTTGTATAGTCATTTATAACTTACAATTTATAACTTTCTTCACTTGATTTTACAGCAATATCCTATATATGTAATATATATAATATAAATAAATATATAATTATATAAATAAATAATATATATTGTATAAATAAATACACACACACACATACACACACATATATATATATAAATATTACATGGTGAATATCCGTCCCCTTTCTGAAGTGACTGGGACCTGAAGTGTTTTGCATTCCAGGTTTTTTCAGATTTTATGCTGTGCATACAAATAATCTAGGGATGAGACCTATGTCTAAACACAGAATTCATTTGTGTTTCATAAACACTTCGTACACATAGCCTGCAGGTTCCTTAATACACTGTTTTAGTATAGCAGTGTTTTGTTTGTGACAAGAGGCCATGTTCAGAATTTTTCACTTGTGGCATCATGTCTACATTTACAAAGTTTTGGATTTTGGGACATTTTGCATTTGGGATTTTTGGATTGGGGATGTTCAACCTGTATTTGTTTTATATGTAACAGAAGTGAGTCCCACGTGTCTATAATCCTACATCTAAGAGGCAGAAAACAGACTAGACCTTGGCTTAATAGAATTCTAGGGTATTTGAAAAACTCAGTTATCTAAAAGACTTGCTTAAATGGAACACTTGGTCCAAGTGATTGTGGGTAGGTGAGGTGTTACTGGGCTCTTATATACCAGAAGACTTCAAAAGTTTTTGGAAAAAAACTAGAATTAAAGCGTGAGGTTTTTTTAGTGCAAAAATATTTGAAATCCATGTATATTTTTCCATAATATACATTTTCCATCTTTTTAAAGATCCCTGCAGTATTTGCTGTTTGTTCAATGTCTGTTAGTACTCGCTTTCTAGCCAGCCACGTACATTTTAGTGAAACGTCATCTTTCTTGTGCTTTTCTTTTTTTCTTTTAATTTGCTATAAGTCATATGTGCTCACCAGAAATAAAGGAAAGGGGCAAAAAATCACCCTCCAGGGGTGATTTTTCATTCTCCCCTCAGGATTTTGGGTATACATGCACACACGCCTGGTATGTTTTCCAAGATGCCAGATCTGGGACTTGAGCTGTTCTGTCAGCCATGTAGGATCCAGTCTCCTTAACCACCATGCCACTGGATGGTTCAGAATCATCTCTTTTTATGTATTTCAGAGCTCTTAGTTTCAGGCTGGACACAGTTAGACTCAAATTGTCACCGACTAGGAGCTCAGTCTGTGAGGCTGGGTGCGCACTGCTCACTTCTTGCCCTCAGCTCTAAGCACCGAGCCTGACACACAACCACCCCTCAAATAACCATTGCCTGTTTGATAAACCTAAAGGGTCATCTGGTAGTTGTCTTGCTATTCTTGTGTTGTTTTTTTTTTTTTTTGAGAGAGAGATTTTTGCCATAGGGCGTGTGCACTTGCCAGAGAGACAGAGAGAGACAGAGAGACAGAAAGCGAGAAATCACCCCCCGGGGGGATGGCCACACCGCAATCCCTTCTCCTCCATTCTCCTCTTGGGATCTTGGGCACGCACACACATGCGCCCGGCATGAGTTTAAGCCACTGGGTCTGAGACTCGAATCATGATTGGCTACATGGGAGTTCAGTGACATAGCCCTTACGCTAACTGCTGGTCCCCCTCTTTTTGTACATTAAAATAATTTCCGTGTTGGACATTTGCTTTATTTCAGTTTTGACATCACATTTCACAGTCAGAAGGACAGTGAACAGAAGGAAGGATTGTAAACTAAAGCCCTGGACCAACCCTTCAGGAACAGAAGCCGTGTCCGAGAAAGAAGGATTACAGAAATCTGCCAGCCTGTCTTTCACTAGATTTCAAAGGAAAGATCTTGTGTTAAATGAAGCTAAACAGCTCTGTATAATGGGATGTATTAGTGCCGAGATCTGAAGAATCTCAATTCTTAAGAATACTTGTCTCTGGTTTTGGAAAATCCAGTAACTAAGTGGTTACTGATGATAGTTATATATGAATTTTTAAGAAGTATGTTCATATTATTAAAAATAGGATATATTGAATAATTTTTCTAAGCAATTATGACTTCCTAATTTAAGAATCTTTGAATTTTTTAAAAGTTGGTAGTAGTCTGGTTTATGCAGCCTCTAGCAACTTGGAGATTTTCAAGGGGGATAAAAGTATACTTTTTTCATTAAGATAGACATAGTTTGGATCGTAGGTTGGGCATTCTAAAACTTCTTCCTGTGATGTTAAATTATTCTTTTAAACATTTTAAAATTATTTTTTAAATGAACAGATTACATATTGTGACGGCACAGTTTTGAAGCATACGTACATTGTGGAATGGTTATATTAGCTTCTTAACAAATTTATTACCTCACATAGTTACCATTTTTGTGGCGAGAACACTTAACATCTACTCTCTACCTTTTTTAAGAATACAGTATATATCCTCATTAACTATGGTCACCAAGTTGTACAATAGATAAGGTATTCTTCAAAATAAATTTTGGCTGTTAAATGCTGAAAGTATAGAAGTATTTGAAGAATCTTCCTGACAAGTTTTCCAGTACATACGTATGCCCGTCGTTTTTGTTTTCTTTATTCCTTATTACATTTATGCTCTGTTCCTTTGTAAATAGGGTGTAAAATAAATGTGTCTTTTTAACTTGGTTGTGTTTTGTGGCAATTTAAATTCATGTTTTCTCACTAATTCATGAAGTCTGGCCTTTCTTTTGTGAGAGGGTGTTCTATAGGTAGAGTATGTGTGTAACACATGAATTTGCAAGTGCATTTTCTCTCTCTGTCCACGTGCTAATGAGATTGATTAATACATGTCTCCCTAGGCACTTCAGCCTGTGCACCAGCCAGAGCGTGCAGATAACTATTTGAATCCACTTGGTACCCACCCATTTCGCCACTTTTAGGAAAGCACGGGTTGCCCACAGTTCTCTTGTTACTGTGGTAGTGGGTTGGTTGCCTTACCCCACCACCAATCCCAACTTCACTCCCTGTCCCCTTCCAGTTAGTGATGGTGCGTTAGTCATCTCAGGACCATGAGGAAGAGGCTTTGAATCACAGAAATGTGAACTCCAGCATCGCTGAGCCATTCAACCAGCACCAGCGAGACCAGTCTCCAGACTTCTTGTTTTATGAGAAAGAGAGGAGAAAAATAGGCTGTGGGAGGTTGCTGCTACTTGAGGCCAAGAGCGTTGGTAATGATACAGCAAGTACAGTAGTGCAGCGTGGGTGCCTGCCTGCTGTTCCTGCTGTGGTTGCTTTCTGATCTTTCGCATCCTGCTATACTAATTTAATTGTTCCTGCCCCTATACTTTTCCCTCTTCCTGGCTTTTCTCATTATCCTTCTAAGATGTGTTTTCCTCTGAAATGGCCACTTTTTATCCCCCAAGGTAGCCTTGCATTTTCAGTTTTCTAGTTTCTTTGTTCAGAAATGTGTGATAGGGGCCAGCAGGTGGCATAGTGGTTAAAGTACTGGACTCCCTTCTGGTGGGCCACAGTTTGAGTCTTGGACCTGGTGGCTTGAAACTCATGCTGAGTGCACATGCATACATGCCCAATATCCTGAGATGAGGATGGAGGCGAGGGGATTGCTGTGTGGACATCTCCCTGGGGTGATTTCTCGCTTTCTGTCTCTAGCAAGTATACACACGCTATAGTAAAAATCTATAAAAAATTGCAACATTCTGAACATCCCCAACAACTAGCAGAAATCATTGGAAGATACCACTGTCTGCCAAGTGAAGTATATTTCTTGGCTCGTCTACTTCAGAATAAATGCCCTGCCTTCCCAAAGCACATTTCAATACCCGTGTTGCATCGGGATTGAGTTGACCTTGGGCTTCTCTGTTTAGACGTTTCACTGGTGTCCTGAGATACATGGCCATATTCATATAGCCACTGGTTAAGACGGGCAGCTGAGAGTGGTTTTCAAGGCAGGAAGGGGAGACGTGACTTCCTAAGAGTGTCTATCAGAGACACTCTGATAGGGGAGATGGGACCCCAGATTGAAAATAGCAATGGGAAACCAGCAGATGGCATAATGGTTACATCGCTGGACTCCCATGTAGTCGACGATGGTTTGAGTCCTGGACCAGATGCCTTAAAACTCACGCTGGGCACGTGTGTGTGTGCCCAAAATCCTGAGAGGAGAATGGAGGACAAGGTGTTTCTTGCTTTCTGTCTCTCTATTTCTGTCTCACCAGTGAATGCATACACCCTACAGCAAAAATCTCTCTAAAAAAGAAAACAGCGGCATGAGACTGTTACAGAGAAGGTGTATCAAAGGGTTTTACTTGTACAAGAATATTTGTACTATAATAAAATTTCAGAATTTGGGGAGGGGGGCAGCAGGTGGCATGGTGGTTAAGGCGCTGGACATTCCTACATGGCTGACCATGGTTCAAGTCCTGGACCTGGTGGCTTGCTCTCTCACTTTCTTTCTTTCTCTGTGTCTCTCTCTGGTCAAAATAAAATAAGTAAATGAATAAATAAATTTTAAAAAATTCTTTAAAAAATTTTAGAATTTGTTTTAGTCCATTCAGGCTATTATAACAAAATACCATAGGTGGTTTATAAACAACAGAAATGAATCAATCACAGTCCTGGGACTGAGTCCGGGATCAGGGCTCTGCCAGATTCAGTGTCTGGCAAGGGCCCACCTTGGTTAGTAGACAGCACCTTCTTACCATGTCCTCACGTGGTGGAAGGGGCTGGCTAGCTCGTGGGGTCTCTCGTGAGGGCACTAATCCCAATGAAGGGGAGTCCCCTGTCATGATCAAATCACCTGAGAAGGCCTTATTTCCTAATACCATCACCTGGGGTTTGGGGAGTGGATAGATGTCAGCACATGGATTTCGTAATGACGTAAGCATTCAGTCCATTTCAAACTAAGATGGAGAGCAGCAAGCCATTTACGTGGAGGATAATTTAGATGCTGACAACAGAGAAAGGACATTATCTAAATAGTTTTGTTGGCTCTCAGGCACATTCCTCAGATGGGAAAGGTTAAGCATGCATGCAATTGGGTTTATTTTAAATTTGGATCCTTTCCCCCACTGCCCCCCCCCCAAAATATATGTAAACCCAAGACAATTTAAATATGAGTTTTATATGAGAAAAGGGCTGTTGCAGGTTGGTGTCTCTGGGTGGCAGACTTGGAGCAGAGATTAACGTGCAGAAAGTCTCTGCCTGAGCTCAGGATGACAAAGGGAGGAGGCAGGGTTGGGTCAAGGAGCAGCGGGGCAGTGATGCTGTCTTGACCTGGGCCTCTGCAGATCCCAGAGAAGGCTGAGTATTTCACACTGACCAGACATGGGGAAGAGGGCATGGCCTTGAACGAGGCAGCCTTCTTGAGCCAAGGGCAATCTCCAGTGGGGTCATCAGGTTCGAAGATGGATCGTGGCATGGCACAGTCCAGTAGAGGACACTGGTTCCAAACTGTTGTGGCATCCCAGGATTAGACATAAGAGCTTGCCTGAAGTTATAAAGCCTGCCCCACATTGCGGTAGCCTGACAGTGCTAACTGCCTGGGACGAGTGCCTTGTTCCAGGCTAATTCTTATACTTACCATCTTGAAAGTGTTTACATTTTTAAAACTGGGAGTGGGGGAAAATCATTCACTAAAGCTGTTTCCTTTTGGCTGTGTCTGGGCCACATGGTATGGGGAAAGCCAGAGGGGAAGGGTCACTGGCTGGTTGGCCACAGCTTTGTCCTTTCTTCATGAAAATCACTTGTGTTTGCAAGGACACAGGACACCAAGCAGCAGGAGCATTGTGGAAAAGCAGCAGAAGGATAGTTATCACAGCTCTGGGCTGCAGGATGAGGAGGCCAACAATGTGCTCCAGGCCTAGTGTGCGACCTTAACTCAGTGACTTATTCTGGTGGGTAAAGCTCAGCTCGGCTCAGTTTCAGGACTTTGTGGCAAACATTCTTACCAAGGAGATGTGGTCTTGGGCTAGACGCAGTGGAGAAATGGTCGGTGGGTCCCAAGAGCTTTGTTACACTGTACTTGGGAATGGACTGTAACTGGATGTGAAAAATCGCCTCCTAGGGGGATGGCCATGCTGCAATCCCTTCTCCTCCATTCTCCTCCTAGGATCTTGGGTATGTAAGCACGTACATGCACCTGGTGTGATTTTCAAGTTACAGTGTCCTGGACTCGAACCATAGTTGGCCATGTGGGAGTCCAACTATGTAAGCCACTATGCTATCTGCTGGCCCCACTGGGCTTTCCATATCTTGACTCATTTAATCTGCATGTCATCACCATGGAGTGTAGACTATTATCCTCGTTTTGCAGATGAGTTTGGCATAGAGAGACTATCTCTAACCCAGTTGCTGTCCCAGGGTCTTAGAGCTGGTTAAGTGGCTAAGCTGGGATTTGAAACCAGACAGATGCGTTTCAGTGCTTTACCCATGTTTTCAACCCCTAGAAACACTGCTGATATTCTAAATTTATCTGCTTCTTTAAACTTTGCCTTTTTCCAGTATTTAAGGCGGCTTACAAGGTATACATAAAGCACCGCAAAATAACGTAAGAACCAAAACAGGAAAAACCCCAGGCTGCAGTTTTTTATTTTTGCCACAAGAGGGAAGTATAACACCAGGAGCTCCCAGGCTGATGGCAACGTATTACCACATTCAGAATCAAATTTATATAAATTATAGACAGAGCAAATTAGATTTATTATTACTCAAAAACATCAGCTTATTTTAAAGGGAATTCGTGGACTGTAAATTGCTATATCCTTGATACATTTGAGATTACTCATGTCATTAGGGTAATGCAACTCTTTTCCCAGCAAATGCATATTCTGTAAAATTCATTAATGAGGGTTAGTCCATGGCACTGTGGTTAAGATAGCTGGATCCCACATGGCTGAATGTGCAGTTCAAGTCCTGGACCCTGTGGTCTGAAAAACACACCGGGCATGTGTGCATTCATGCCTGTCCAAAACTCTGAGAGGAGAGTGGAGGAAAAGGGACTGTGGAGTGGCCATACC